GTTTCTCTCCAGTCATGGCGTCTGAAGGAAACCAATACGATCCTCGTCAGTTCGATACGAGGATGAATGCAGTGTAAGTTTTGAATATCTTGAATCACTTTATTATATAACAAAATTCTTCTACCAAGAAACTAAGTTGTATGATACTTTTTTCGCTGACTTAGTGACGAAGGAGCGGATACATTCTACACGACGTACGACGAAGTCTGCGATAGCTTTGATGCAATGGAATTGAAATCGGATCTTCTTAGGGGTATTTATGCGTACGGTAAGTAAAGAATAGAACCTTGTTTGTATATATTGTTAGGTTTTGTTTTTCTCTTTTGATTTGTTTCAACACTCTTTAAACCAAACTCATAATAGCATGTCGAAAAGTTTGTGATTTATTCTTTCTCACGTTATTCCAGGTTTTGAGAAGCCTTCTGCGATTCAGCAGAGAGGGATTATTCCATTCTGCAAGGGTCTTGATGTGATCCAGCAAGCTCAATCTGGAACTGGAAAAACCGCTACCTTTTGCTCTGGAGTTTTGCAGCAGCTTGATTACACTCTTGTTCAGTGCCAAGCTCTGGTTTTGGCTCCTACAAGAGAACTCGCTCAGCAAATCGAAAAGGTTATGAGGGCACTCGGTGACTTCCTCGGGGTCAAGGTTCACGCCTGTGTTGGCGGGACAAGTGTGCGTGAGGATCAACGCATTCTTCAGTCTGGTGTTCATGTTGTTGTTGGTACCCCTGGTCGTGTCTTTGACATGTTGCGTAGACAATCTCTCCGCTCTGATGCCATCAGAATGTTTGTTCTCGATGAAGCTGATGAAATGCTCTCTCGTGGTTTCAAGGACCAGGTTTGAATCTACAGTTTCAGTTTTATGTCTGATAAAATCGAATCCTCTTTTTTCTTACAGTTTGATTTCTCTGTTCAGATATACGACATCTTCCAGCTTCTTCCTGGAAAGGTTCAGGTTGGTGTTTTCTCTGCCACAATGCCACCTGAAGCCCTTGAGATCACAAAGAGGTTCATGAACAAACCGGTCAGGATTCTGGTGAAGCGAGACGAGCTGACTCTTGAAGGTATCAAGCAGTTTTATGTCAATGTTGAGAAAGAAGAGTGGAAGCTAGAGACTCTGTGCGATCTCTACGAGACTCTTGCCATCACGCAAAGCGTCATCTTTGTGAACACAAGGCGTAAGGTTGATTGGCTAACAGACAAAATGAGAAGCCGTGACCACACTGTCTCGGCCACACACGGTGACATGGATCAGAACACAAGAGACATCATCATGCGCGAATTCCGCTCTGGATCTTCCCGTGTCCTCATTACCACTGACCTCCTTGCTCGTGGTATCGATGTTCAGCAAGTCTCTCTGGTCATAAACTTTGACCTACCAACGCAACCTGAGAATTACCTTCACCGTATTGGAAGAAGTGGAAGGTTTGGAAGAAAAGGAGTCGCGATCAACTTTTTGACAAAAGACGATGAGAGGATGTTGTCTGACATTCAGAACTTCTACAATGTGGTCGTTCAGGAGTTGCCAAACAATATTGCTGATCTTCTCTAAGTAGTTTTTCTTTTTCCCTGTTGCGGCGGCCTGAAAACTGCAGATTTTACCATCGTTTTTCGCAGTTTTCCTTTGTTTTTGTTTCAAGCTTCCTTAGAGTTATTATTTAGTTCTTGGTAACAAGGAAGAGAACTCATCCCACGATTTTGTTTTTTTTTTTTGGCTCTCAAGAACTTCGGCATTATTTATTAACCCTTTTTTGTTAACGTGACTTACAAGGAAATTTTTGGCTCTAATGAATGATAACTTTCACATCAAATTTGTTCAGCTAATTTGATATATAACTGATGTTGAGTCATGTTTATTGTTCGGTTTTTCGTCTATTGATTTTGAAGGACTAAATTCTTGTTTAAGCTAGTTTGATGTAGTTTTTGAGTACATCAAGTTTGGCCTAATTGGGGACGAGCCCCAAGAAAATCCCCTCGAATTAACCAAGTAAGCAGCGGCCATGTGTAAAATCCAAACGACATAAGATCTTACAAAATTTTCTTTGGAAGAATAAAAATACAAACTGTACTAGGTACAATGTAGTAACTAATCTCTAATAATGTTTTTTTTTCTTCTATTTATTGTAACAAACATATCAATATATCTCGTCTAAACCAATATACATATATTTTGATAAACCGTTGAAGTTCCGATGCTCGTGATTAGTCGCTGATAACATCTAAACCAATATAACAAAAAAAAAAAATACTTTGATTAACTAATTAGATGTTAAGGTTGTAATTAGTACTCTAAATAATGAGTAAAAGATACTTGATCTCCATTTCTATATATATGTCAAAAAGATAACAAGAGACAAAATCAGAAGAGAAAGAAGTTGGTGATAAAAGCCAAAAGCAAATTCTCTCATTTTCTCTTCCTAAAAGGAAAAAAAAAAAAAACAATTTCTTGAGGTTGTTTGCAAGTGGGAGATGTTCAGATCCAAGTCATGCAGAGAAGAGATCAGAAGCAGCACCATCACAAACAAGTACCACTGTTTCAGTAGTAATGGAAGAAAATCAGAAACAGAAGCAGCACCAAGCTCAATAAACCAGCAGCCTCCAGTGATGCTGAGATCTTACAGTACATCAACTTATAGTCCACACAAGAATCCAACAACGGTGAGGGACAATTCCAACAGTAAATCAAAGAGAAGCAATAAGAAAGTGTTTAAAGGTTTGTGTGAGGCAGAGATTCAGAGAAAGAAGAGAGTGGTTGGTTATAATGTGTATGGTGTTGAAGGGAGAGTGAAAGGATCTATGAAAAAGAGCTTCAAATGGTTCAAGGAGACTTGTTCAAATGCTGTCTATGGTTTGTGGTAATCCAAACAACAAATCTTCTTCTCTTGATTATTGTGTTTCTGTTTCCTCGTTCCGCTAGATTCAGCTGTTGTATTATTGTTGTAACAACAATAGATTCAGAGTGAATCATTAAGCTGTGATAAAATGGGGTAGTAGTGACAATGATTTAGCTTAGGGCCTTAATTTCATTTACAAGATACTTCATTCATAGACATATAATGAAGTAACCTGTAACCATGCTTCATCAATGTACTACAATTTCAAAACAAACTAATATCAATAAGATTAAATAACTTTGGAATATCTTCCCTAATA